ATTGATGGATGTACCATGGAGGGCCAAAACTGACATACTTAGAAATAAAGTCAGAAATCTATAAATTAACCAATAAATAAATAAATACACTTAAAATGCACCAAATAATTTTTAAAAAGAACTTTACCTCATGCTTTATAATTTAATTGACCTTCATATTTATTTTTCCAGCTTATTTCCAACAAGTTATAAATTTTACCACATAATTAAAATGTTACTGTTTTCAAAAAATATAATTTTCCCTTTAACTTGTAGATGAATTTGTGTCCTTTCGATATTTTATCCACCCCCCACCCAAGTCTTTTTGTTTCCATGCGTCTTTAAACATCTGTCTCCTGTTTTTACTTTTTCTTATGCATTTCTGCCTCATTATGTAAATATGGTGGGCGGGACTTCTTGGGTCAGCTCCTCTTCTATTGGTCAACAGACAGGAAGGAGCAGGATCCATGTGTAGATCGAGTGTGAATGCTGCTACCTCAGTTTAGTTAAAAGTTTAGTTTTCAAACTAAACGTTTTGAAGAAGCTGATTGTTTTTTAAATGTACAGTTAAAATAGCTGAAAGTACGGAGCCCACAAGGGGACATGGGAGATTTTTTTCTTTTGCGTTCCCACGCAATACCTTTTGCGTTCCCTCGCGAAAGTCGTTTATCACAGTTGAGCCTGCCGGTTTATTAGCAAACTCATATGTTCACCATTAGCGAGTTAGCCTACTGCTTTAATTCAGCTTCAGAATGAATATATCACACAGCCACGCATATGCCGATATTTTAACACAGTACAGCCACGCAACATTAATGCCAATTTCACGAACTTGTGGCGACACATCCTGTTTTGGTAACCGGATATTTCAAAATAAAAGTCTGATTTAATTCAGTTCATATACAAAACAATCTTTTGCGTGGGAACGCAAAAGTATTGCGAGGGAGCAAAGGTATTGCGTGGGAACGCAAAAGGGAAAAAAAAAACCCTGTGCCCCCTCGCGGGCTCCGTATAAAAGAAAGCTGAAAGGGGTTGAACACATATACAGCTGACTCAGCATGATTAAAAGGATGTGAAGAAGAAATCTATGAAAAATATTAAAATCTCCATGTTGTTTGACTGACCTGCTGCACACTAATCTGATTAGATTAAAGTGAAAGGAGGGGAGGAGCGAGAGAGGAATGAAGGGAGGAGGTGTAAAAAGGGAGGAGTGAGGACAGTCTGGTTTGAGTGAAACCCAGCATTATCGGAGGGGGAGGTTCTGGTTCCGGAGGCAGGCTGTGGAAGCTGAACTTTGATCAGTTCGGCGGAAACTTTCAGTCAGCGGAAGTTGGACTCAGAGTTCGGTCTCGCAGCAGGTGTCTCCTCTTTGTTCGGTTGTTCCGCGGTCCAGTGAAGCAGCGACATGTCTCAGCTCAGACCCAGGCTGTGTGTTCTGGAGAAAGGAGCCAAAGGTTACGGCTTCCACCTGCACGGAGACAAGAACAGACCCGGACAGTTCATCCGGCTCGTGGAGTCCGACTCTCCCGCCTCCACGGCCGGGCTGCAGGCCGGGGACCGGCTGATGTTCGTCAACGGAGACAACGTGGAGGGGGAGAGCCACCAGCAGGTGGTCTCCAGGATCCGGGCCACGGCCGGGGCTCTAGAGCTGATCGTGGTGGACCCAGAAACGGCCGAGCTGCTGAAGAAACACAACCTGCGGTGCCGGAAGGAGTTCGTGACGGAGGGAATCCTTCTGCCCGGCGGGGACAGTGACTCTGACCGGGGGGACTCGCACAGCAACGGAACCCCGCGGGAGTCCAGCCCGGAGTCCAGGGAGAACGGCGACACGTCCTCTGAGAGGTCCGGGAGGCTGAGTGTCAGCTCCAGCGTCAAGGTAAGAAGCCAGACTGTTAGCAAAATATCTCAGCAATCACTGGACAAACATGAATGAAACTTAACAGTGACTTTAATCAAGATGGCCGCCACAGCTTCTGTCCTGAGACCTGCTGTAGACCTGGAGCTCTGAGACCTGCTGTAGACCTGGAGCTGTGAGACCTGCTGTAGCCCTGGAGCTGTGGTAGTAGCTGAGGCTGATCCTCACACACAGTCTGTCAGATGTCTGCTTCCTGTCAGGGATTCCCTGTCAAGTTCTTCTTGTCAGACCAGGTCTGGGTGTCAGCTGGGTTCTGTGATCTGAGACCTAACAGAAGTCTGTGCTGTTTGTAGCTCAAACCCTGCACAGTACCTGTGTGTGTCTGTTAGCAAAATATCTCACCAGCCCCTGAACTTGCAGAAAGTAGTGCATTGCAATGGTGGGCACAGTTCCCCCAAAGCACTAAAACACTAATAGGGGAACTAACTTCCTTATTAGTGCTTTAGGGATTTTGCTGTTTTTAAATTCATTAGTGGATTAGCACTTGCTAAATTCAGAAGCACTAACTGAGGTCTTTAAATGTTATTGATCAACATTATTGTTCACAGCTGAGGGTGAAAACTGTCATTTTGTTCATATTTGTATCACTTATCTACAAGGTCACGTGTCAAACTTAAGGCCTGCGGGCCAAATGTGGCCTGCTGGTGTCTCCCCACCAAGGGCACTAAGTGACAACATTCTGCACACAGTAAATATTGTCTCATGTTGACTCTGAAGAATGTTTCATGTCTCAGCTGAGTTATTTTAGTGCTTTAGAATTAGCTTTTGATAAATTTTTCATTGTATAAGTGCTTTAGAGTTAGGGGACCTAAATATTTGAATTAGTGCTTTAGGTTTAGTGCAACTAATAATTAGATGAGTGCTGCCCACCACTGGTGATTTGTATAGTTTGTGTAGAGTTGACCTGATTTAAGACAGCTGCCAGCTGATCCATGAGAAGAACTGAGCATGAACAGATCCTGAAAGGTCCTTGATTTAATCTAGTTGGAGATAAGTCTCTCTGCCTCTTAGCAAAACATCTCATGAACCAGTAGAACTATTGGGCCTCATGCAAGAACATGTTCRTATTCTTATCCTAAATTTCTCTTACTTTTGTTCGTAYRAAGGGTTCGTACGAACATGTCACGTCAGATTCAACAAACTCTTCTATCTTCAGGAAAAGTGTGTAAATGAGGAGCGTAAACATGATTAATGTGTATCAGGTGCTCGTGCACGAGGAGAGGTAATTAGCATAATTACCACCCCAAAAACACCATAAGGCTACATTTCCTGCCCCACATACCAGGAAGTGTTCATTCATAAATGACATCGCAAAGTAAAAAAGAAAAAGTTTACACGTTCAGAGATTGAAGTCCTGCTCTCAGAGATCCAGAAAAAAATGTAATTTTTAGTAGCGTTATTGTAAACAACTGTATTACATTGTTTTCATTTATTCAGAAGAAGAGCAGTCGCGCACCGCTTACCCCCCACCCACCACCACCACCACCCGCCTGGCCGTCTCCCACTCCCGACCGTCACAAGTGTCAGATGCGGTTCTGAAAAGAAAAAAAAAAACATTTTAAAATGTCTCCAAACTTCAATTAATGCATAATTTAAGTTGTTTTCTAGTTTGAGATCTTCATATTAATATTGTAGTGATATACAACAGCATTAAAAGCCAATTTAATTTAATCTAACCAATTTATGTCGTTAGAGTTAAAATCTAAATCCAATTCAAACAGAATAACGTCTTGTCAACATAATTATTGAGTGTGATTTATTTTCAACTCAAAAAATCTTCAAACTAATGAAATATAAAGTTATTAATGTGAAAAATCCATCTGGATAACAGCAGACTGACTGCTGGTAAAAYATACGACAGGTCTGGACCACTCGTGAATTTTGTTCGCATCTGAAAAAAATCTTAGAATATGAAAACATTGGTGAATGCCACAAATTCTCCTAAATCATTCGTACGCACAACTTAAGAACAAATCTGTGTGTATGAACGGTTCTTGCATGAGGCTCATTGTATTAAAGCTTTGCAGAAATACTGCTGGGTACTTGATGGCTGACTGGTCAGCTGGTTTTAGAGGCCACATTAACTCAGTTCTGCCGTCTTCTCATTCTGAGTTTGTAGGTTGGAGTCATTAAAAACCTTCCTTTAGTTAAAAAAAAATAATAAAACCTCTGCATTTTTATTTCCTGTAGTCCTGCTGTATTTTTGGAAAGAGAAAAGCTTTAGTGGTCAAATTCTAAAAGAATTTCTCTGGTTTTAGAAGGTCAGTAACATTGGGAGGATTTGCTGACTGTGCAATAGTTTTATTCAAAGAAAAGTCTGGACCCTGATTTAAAGGTTGCGTAACAAAACTCCAGAATCACCTCTTTGTGGGGTTTAGGCTTTTTTTTTGATCCGTCCAAATGAGCTGCTGTTTTTAAAGTGGGGCTTAGAAAACAACTGAATGCTGATTATTTTTAGACTTCAGGACTTCACACACCTCTCAGAATGAAGGCTGCTCAGGCTGGCTGGGATTAGCCTCAGGCTGGTTTCGAGGCGTCCCACCATCTCTTCACTCTTCTGGGGTCTCATTTATAAAGGATTGCGTGGAAACCTTACTAAAAGTGAACGTACGGCCAAAAGGCGGAAATGGCGTACGCCAAAAAATAATTCAGATTTATAAAATGGTGCGTACGCACGTTTCTGCGCATCTTTCCTT